GATGCGTATATCTGGAAAAGTTCTTGACGGCGTTCAAAGGGAGTACCATTTTCATGTTCAGGAGGTCAAGGAACATCATTCCTGAGATTTTGAACGAAATCGGAGGGGTCCGCCGAACGTGCATATGTTACGGCCCGTTTGAAAACCCGGCCCGTATTAATGCTGCCCGGCCCGCATTAATACTGACCGGAGACCTGGCCCGTATTAATACGGCCCCCGGTCAGCATTAATGCGGGCCGCCTGGCGGTCAGCATTAATACGGGCCGGGCAGTATTAATACAGCCCACTTTTTTCCTCACGGCCATATGAAAACTCGGGCCATATCAAAACTAGCCAACTAGTCTCTATTCCATGTCTTAGCAAATGCTGCGTAGGCTTGCAGTGGTCTTAAATGTCTTTTATACTTTTTGACTGTTGGCTAGTAAATGTTTGTTTCGTGGTATCTTCAGCGTATAGACCCACCATACCTTGACCTTACTTACACCATACATGACCTTGACACCCACCATAATGCATTGGTACAACATCATTTTACATGTTCCAGTGTTTAAAACCACAACAAGACTAGAAACACGCAGATAATATGAGCCAACATACGCTGAATTGCGATTCCGGCCAAACATGGTCTCGAGGATCAGGTCACAGGTCAAAGGTCATTTGGGTCAGGGTCATGAAATTTTAGAGCAGGTGTAAAATTGAATAACTCGAGGGTACTGAAAGTTTCGTCGCGATCGGCCGTTTTTACGCGAGTTATTCGCAAAAAAGACGAGGGGGTCCGTTCGACCCCCCCCTATAAGTGCGAGGGTTAAGTGGAAATCAGTGCTTAAGTCCTCGAATTATGACATTTTCAAAATGAAGTTACCATACTCTTTATGATCACTAGTTATTAAGATCAGATAATGAAACAGATGCGTGATACGCTGATATTCACTGTCGGTCCTCCAGCGGTAATGGAAGAAATGGGCGCGCGGCAGTGTCGGCACTCCCTGAGGTGACCTTGGGCGATGTGTTAGACCTGCTCTTATTACCCTGGGCAACGTCTAGATGAATATTGCTGGTTGTCTCTATAAAATTATGATAAACCCTCGTTTGTTTTCTCTAAATGGTGTTTTGAACTATTTTAACCCGCGCACCGACGGGGGTCTGCGCCAACTTAGTACCGACGGGGGGGGGGGGGGCGGATGACCGCCCCCCCCCCTGAGATCTCGAGAACGAAGCAAGATAGCGACAAGCGGTAAACGGCATCGGATACGCACGGTCAAGATCTACAATTTTTACAAAGGTCATTTTCAGATCAGGTCAAAGATGACGTCACAGGGGTCGAAAAAGTCAAAATGGCGGCGCTAAATATGGAGAGAGTTTTTCTCGAATAACTTTCGAATTAGTCAAGATAGGAACATACTAAGGGCATCATCGTGATCCTCTCGTCAATCCGCATCGAATGATATATATGTTGACCTCGAAAGGTCAAGGTCAAAGGTTGACCTCAGGTCACGTGACCTCGAGGTCATCATGTATATCATTCGATGCGTCTTGACGAGCTGAACACAATGAGACCATCCACGCGTCTGTATCTTGTTCCTGTACGGAGTTATTGGCCAAAAACCTTTGGTGACCTTTGATGACGTCACATGACCTCACAGCTGCCCAACAGCAAAACAGACCTCAAGGTAGTGAAGGTTGATCGTATATGAAGTCATGTATGGTATATGGGGCCATTCCGACCCGTTTTAGTGGTAAAAACAGGGAGTTGATTTTTCCCCCATTGACTTATAATGGGGAGGTCGCGAAATTGACCTGACCTTAGGTCACCGATATCAAAATTCCGAGATAAACAAATTGTAGCTACTAATGACCTAATAACATCCTGCGACTTTCAAAGGCCTCCGACATCTACTGTAGCTCTGGCACGGTGACAAAGTTGCAAAAAAGTGACTTGAGGTTGGGTCATTCAAAGTGACCTGGTGACCTGACCTTGAAAGGTAGGAGGTTCAAACTTGCACACCATGTGTAAAATTGATAAGGGAATAGTCATACCAAATTTCGCGGCGCTACGCGCCGCGGTTTTCCCGCTATTCGCGAAAACCGTAGTTGCCGAAGAATGGACTGAGACTGATTGTCCAAAACGTGTTCTTAGACTACCAAGACAATATTCGTTGCATACAATGTATTCAAAGGTCAAGGTCAAGGTCACATCAGGTCAGGTCAGGTCACCAAAAACAAAATATAGTAAAGGGCATGTGCAACAAATGTTTTATGAGTCACTTTACTCATAGAATTCAATAGGCACACTCAATAAGTGATATGGACCACCTCTGGATGAATTTCAGGTCGAGGTCAGGTCAAGGTCAGGTCAAGTGAGGTCAAATTTTGAAGTTGGTTTTTAAGGCCTAAAAAAGTGTCTATCTGATGCAGTTTGTCACGTCGAATCGAATGGTGCTATTTTTGTTTCCCTACGAGGTCTAAAACTTCCAAAAAATTCATTTTTCAAAAATTTTGTGTGTCGTGACGTCATAAAATTTTGTATAACTCCCACATTTTTGAGCCGATTCTTCTAAAAATTGTTATGTAGGTGCACATAGACCACTTCTCTGACATATATCCCGGTTTTTTCGATACACTCAAAATTTTGGATTTTATAATTATTTTCCCAAAAAAGTCAGTTTTTTGAGAAAAAAAAATTGGGCCAAAATCCAAAATTTTCAAAAAACCGAGATAGCCATTTGATAGACAAAGTGGAATCACGCATAACCTTTTTTGTTACGTCTTGATTCTTTTAAAAATGAAGATGTTAGCGGCGTTTGAAATTTTGCTGTTTTTGAGGCAAAAATGGCGAACATGACGTCACTAAAACGTCAATTTCTCAACAATTTTCCGACGGAGGTCGCTCAAATTTTCAGGGAACGTGTCAAATTGATGTATGATAAGGTACCGAAAGTTTGATGTTGCTGGCGTAACGCGTTTAGAAGTTATTGGCGAAAAACGGGAGGGGGGGGGGGCAGATTCTGCCCCCCCCCAGCGGGGCGCGGTTAATCACGTATAATAGCATCTATTTTCTCGAGCACGTTTTATCCATATCATTGCCGAGCACTAGTTTGAACTGCTTGCCCAATTCACTGCCTTTCGATCTGTCCGCTAGTCTCGGGGTATATGTTCCGGTCTTGTAATCGAATGGTTGTGGGTTCGAGGCGGGGTTGGCGAATATTTACACATGGCGTTCAACTTTTATCAGTAAGCCGCCGTCTATAAAGATCTGCTAATGTAATTGATTTTGCAGCAGACGGATAAGTTTTGAAATAAAAGGTGGGCAGCATTAATACTGCCCACCTAAATCGGCCGCATTAATACAGACCGGCAAGGCGGCCCGCATTAATGCTGACCGGCCCGTATTAATACGGGCCAGGTCTCCGGTCAGTATTAATGCGGGCCGGGCAGCATTAATACGGGCCGGGTTTTCAAACGGGCCGTAACACATATACTACACCTAGGCAATTTGAATGTGCATGGATGCGTATATCTGGAAAAATTCTTGACGGCGTTCAAAGGGAGTACCATTTTCATATTCAGGAGGTCAAGGAGCATCATTCCTGAGATTTTGAACGAAATCGGAGGGGTCCGCCGAACGTGCATATGCAACACCTAGGCAATTTGAATGTGCATGGATTCGTATATATGGAAAAGTTCTTGACGGCGTTCAAAGGGAGTACCATTTTCATGTTCAGGAGGTCAAGGAGCATCATTCCTGAGATTTTGAACGAAATCGGAGGGGTCCGCCGAACGTGCATATGCAACACCTAGGCAATTTGAATGTGCATGGATGCGTATATCTGGAAAAGTTCTTGACGGCGTTCAAAGGGAGTACCATTTTCATGTTCAGGAGGTCAAGGAGCATCATTCCTGAGATTTTGAACGAAATCGGAGGGGTCCGCCGAACGTGCATATGCAACGCCTAGGCAATTTGAATGTGCATGGATGCGTATATCTGGAAAAGTTCTTGACGGCGTTCAAAGGGAGTACCATTTTCATGTTCAGGAGGTCAAGGAGCATCATTCCTGAGATTTTGAACGAAATCGGAGGGGTCCGCCGAACGTGCATATGCAACACCTATGCAATTTGAATGTGCATGGATGCGTATATCTGGAAAAGTTCTTGACGGCGTTCAAAGGGAGTACCATTTTCATGTTCAGGAGGTCAAGGAGCATCATCCCTGAGATTTTGAACGATATCGGAGGGGTCCGACCAGGTCCGACAAATTTGCTTTATGTGTGGCAAATTCGAATATCCCTTGTATTTAACTGTTAGCTGAATGAAAGAGGTTTTGACGCTTTTTTTGCATTTTGGTACAGCAACGCCCCTTGGATTTGGGTATATGGTTTTTGTAGGAGGTAGTGCGAATGTCCATCATAAATATAAAGCTGTCACGTGTCAAATAGCGCCAAAAGGTGAGAAAAGGCACTTGACCTTGAACGACCTTGAACTTTAGATGCTCACCCTGAGAAAACTATGGGACGGCGTTAAGTAAAAATGAGTTTTTGGGATCAGCGCTTATGTTTACCTCATCTCAGGAGTTTTTGAGAAGTTTGGTGGGGTCCGATTTTTCCAATAAGGGTTACGTTCCAGAATATGTTAGCAGTAATACAAATGTGAATATTTTGTGAACCACTTGACGGCGTGAAATAAAAACATCATTTTCGCAATCAGGAGCTCAAAATCTATAGGCTGTGCAATTTTGAGCCAAATCTGAGGGGTCCGCGAATGTGCACGCGAATCTGAATGTGAATATAATGCAACTTTATGCACGTGCAGGATTCCCTTACTAAAACCTGTAAGCGTGAAGCGATTCAGGGGAAGAGACAGATATGGTAGCAATCTGGTATCTCGAGTTTACTCAGTTCCTGCGCTATTGAGACAAAATGTACGAAGTATTTTTCCATTTTTCCTATTCAAAACAATGGCATTCCTGGAGGAGTGCATAGCGCTCATTTTGTTTATGTTTTGAATGGGATTGTGGCTTTCAGGGTGGGGCATTTACGGACTTACAGCGCTTACAAGAAGAGTTCGGTTGAACGTGATTTGCGGTGTTCGTCATTGCGTGATATTTTAGTTTTTGAGTCGCGATTCACGCGTGTGTGTGTGTAACCTATTAGTACCTAAAGTAATCTTGTGTGTAACCCAGGAAAGGAATAGGTGAAAACTTCATAAATCTCTTCTATCCATCGTTTAGACACCATACAGGTACGATACTAGCGAATTTTTATTGTTGAATGACAGTCATGCATGTTTCAACGAAAAATGTTTGATAAAATTGTTTAATTTTTGTACTGCGTTCGCTGAAATATTGCATTACATATTATTTCCCATTTTGCACAACTATCACTTGGAATTGTATAAGAAAGTTGATATCCCAGTGAGTTCAACCCATACATTATGTTGAGGTCTACCTGTCTTGATGAGTTGAAGTTGATAGCCATTATGTTTGTTACGCACTACTGACAGGTCCAGAAAAGATTGCTTCAGAGGCCAGAGGGGCATGTTGATGTTGGCATGCTTCACAAAAATGATCTTATTTGAAATAAGCTCATTGGATTATACTGGCTTATGCAATGATGTGCAGTTTCAAGCAAGCTTTTCCCAGTAACAGCTATTTTGTATAATTTTCATGCAAAACATCATAGCAACCAAGCAGCAAATTTCATTTTAGAAAAACAACACAGTCCAGCCAATTTGGAATGCTGTGGAATGGACAAATGCTGCAAATGTCCTTTCCCCTTTCCATTGTTATGCATATCATTTTTCTTTTTTGCTGGAGGGTAAATACTGTGAAAATAAGTGAAATCTGACAGCAAAGGTAGATTGTGCAAATTGCAATTGCAATTGTGCTAATTTGCAGGATTCATCAAAATCTTATTGATTAAACAACATTTAACAACAGCAAAAATCAAGGTTTTCATTTTGAGCCTGACATACTTCAAAAGTCTTTTCTTTACTTTCAAAGTTTTTATCTTAATTGCAGGAAATTTATGTGTTGTAGATGATGTGTAGGTAATAGGTGGTAATAGGTATCAATATCCATATAGTATTGTTTTTTTAATTAAAATAACATTTTGTCTTCCCCTGGGGCAAAGTCTGGAACTAGCCTTGAAAAGGGGTCTAGATGTAGGCAAGTTGTGTAGTTACCAGCCAGAGTATTGCAGGCCAGGTATGTCCAGAATTTTCCAAATAGTTAATTAGGATAATAAACCTGCTGTATAATCTTCCACAAATCTTTGGCACATTAGTTCATTATCAATCATTAGTTCTGGCTGAAATGACATTCAAAGTTAAGGCTATGCTCCTTCAATGTGAAGCAGTGCCAACTGCCAACAATTGTTAAACACTGATTCCAGCTAAGACTTGTTAAGGAGTTTTGCTTTTTGAATGTGAAAAGCATGTTGTTCAAGCACATCAGTAGGTACCTAGTTAGTTTCACTTACAGTTTACAATTAAAAAATGCTTATCTCAGTCTTTTAACAACTAATGAACTGCATACCTTATTGATGTGCTTTGATGTGAAAGATTTATATAGCTTAAATTTGTGCAGTTTGACTGTCTTAATTTCTGTTTTGCTGGAAATCGTTATGATTAGGTACGATCTTCTCAACACGTTTTATTGCAATTTTAATAAAGCAACAGATGGCATACAGAAAAAGAATATTTGTCTCCATTTCCTACTATGTGCTTCACTAGAAAGTTGAAGGGCACTATTTTTTAGAACAGTATTCACATACGGTACCCAAGGGATTGCTTTTTAGCTGGTTTTATGAAGTGTTTACCAGTCATAAGCACCTGTGATTTATCCGGCGAAATTATATGCATTATGTAGTGATGAGACACAGGACACCGTCCCACAGTTATCTCTTGAGAGATCGGGGGTGGCGAGCGTAAGCTAAGTACTAGCCGGTGCTCTTTTCTTGATAAAACATTAATCGCTCTCTCGCCCTCGCAAGAAGATGAGTACCTACCTATTTGAGTGCTTAGTACAGTTGAGTAGGTACTTTTCCATAAACCGCAATTCCACATGCAATGTGGAATGCAGCGAGTTAATCGCTAACTTTTATGGTGTCCCTTTTCGAGAAAGACATCAATCTCTTTCGCGCAAGCTATGAAAAATCTAAGCCCCAGGCTACCCAAGTTCCGGTCATCAGGAACTCTGTCTAGACACCATACCATATCAGTGTGTGTAACCACAGCCCGTCCATCGCTCAGCGCCCCTGTGGTCTGCTCCGTTGTCGCCGTATTTAGTAGCCTGTCGTTCGCCCAGCTGATCTGAATCCCCCCGTGCTCCGTTGCCGCGGCCGCCTCTGATGTTTGCATTCGGCCGGTCCGCAGCGGTCAGTGCCGGTCGCTATGCCGCCGGCGCTGTGAGCGGCTCCCGGCTCCCAGCGGCGCGGTTCAGTCGGCGCCCGGCCGTGGCGGAGTGAGGTGTTCGTGGTGTGTGCGGCGGATCGACGACCGCCGGCAGACGGACCATGTGGCGACGCGGCGGCGCGGCCGGCCGGCTGGCTGCGCTACTCTACTTAGGTGAGTGCCGCAGGCGGTTATACTGTGACCAACCGATGGGGGGGGGGGGGGGTTCAGGTCTGACTGGTTAATGAGTGACATTGTCTGTTTCTTCAGCTGGCGTGTAGATCTTATATTTTTCATTCATGATGTGTAGGGGAGAGTGGGGCAAAGCGGCCACCCGGGGCAAAGCGGCCACCCATCGTTTTAGCCCTTCATAGCTGGCGTCAGTTCCAATTTATGGTTTCCAATTATACTTCTCTTCACGGTCGTTCGAATGAGCCAGACCGGTGTTTCAGGCCCATCACCATTGTTCTGTGAAACTCGGAAAAACATTTCTTGCCAGGTTACCAACTATGTTTACAATTTTTAAATGTTATGTTATTCCATAACCGTTTGGAATTTTTATAAGCGTTCTTGTCCATGCATTGCATGGTTATCGTACAAGTATTCTACCAATTTTAATGTTTTTTACCCCACGAATAGCTAAGCTGGAATATTGTTGTCTCGGACGGTATGCGCGGGGCAAAGTGGCCGGGGCAAAGTGGCCACCCCCCAATTGGCCATAAGTTGCTTCCATCTGGATAAAAAACATTATTTATATTCAAATGTGTCGTCATGCATACATCTTGGCCACTTTTCAGTTGCATGAGTTACCAAACAATGCAATTAAATGTTTATTTTCATGAAAATCCTTTCTTTGTTTACCTACAGGTGGAAGATGAGAAAGTAAACATCCATCCTCGCTTAACCTTGTCACCATCAAATACCCTAGTCGTACACGAGGCAACTATTTTGTTTCTCATATCGGGACTTGAGAAGACGCTGGTGGCCGCTTTGCCCCAGGGTATGGGGCAAAGTGGCCAATATGCATAGGTTAAAAGTTTTGTCAATATCTTTCATACAGGGTCTTTCATAATGAATGTTACTTTTGAAAGAGCTATTTCTCAGGACATATTTGTTCCTCATGTAATATGTACCATCACATGGAACAGAAACACATTAGCGTTTTTGCACATACAACTTTCATTTTAATGCTCCTCAGGAATTTTCCACTGTATCGCCCTTAATTAAGGCACAGGTTTCGGCCCACTGACGAAGGTGTCGCACCCCGCGCCTCGCAACGTCTGGGTCCAGGCTTCCTGCAAACCTCTCCACTGTGGTTCGCAGTGGATGGCTGCAGGAGGGTTTTGTCTCAGATCTGCCAATGCGACTCCCCAAAACCAGTAGTCCAGCGGGGAGAGGTCAGGACTCAGTGGTAGCCATGGTCGCTCGGTGAGGTGGCTGATAACGCGCTCTTCGAAATTTTCGATCAGCCACTGGCGCAACAGCTGCCGTGGTGCGCACTGTGGCACCATCCTGCTGGAACCACAGGCCGTCTCTTTGAACCTTGTCCCTGACCTGAGGCAGAAGCATTCCTTGAGCAGCCTGAGGTAAGCCACCCTGTTCAGTGTTGACGCAGGGGAGAGCCAATGGATGAAGACTTGTCCGTCGACCGTAATCCGTAATGCGTTTTAGTGGTGTCGACATACTCTGCTTTTCCGTGAAGGAAAATTGGCGTCATGAATTTTTTATTTTTTGGGACAAAACCCTAATCAATTTGCAACAATACGCATATAAAATTCACGCGAAAGTGATAAATTAAGAGCTCCTAACTAAATGTTCAAAAGTAACATTCATTATGAAAGACCCTGTATGTGAACGCCTTTGGAAATAAAACGCAGTTAAATTAAAGGCAACTTAATAGGGATCACATTGGTATAGAAAGAATCTTTCCAAGTTGAAAAATCAAGCGTTGGCATCGTGAGAAGCGTTAGGGTGGCCGCTTTGCCCCACTCTCCCCTACATTACCAGTGTTTTAAATTCAACTATTTGACTCTTGAAGCTAATGTGTGTTAAAAACGTCTTGGCACGGTTTGCTGAGTAGTTCGCCGCACCATTTTGTTGCGAAGATACAATGTATAATGCGCTGGGCCGCTGAGGGCGATGCGTAGTCCTACGAAAAGTCACCGTCACCTGAAGCGTCACCGTCACCGTCACCGATTCCCGTCTTTTGTCCGAGTCCCCGCGCCTCGCCCCGCCCCTCCCCATTCCCATTCCCATTCCCATTCCCACCCGACCCCCTTCCTCCCTTCCCGACCCATCCCGGTCGGCCGTCCCCGCACCTGTACTGGCTACACTCTACCACTGTAGACATCACCAAGGTATGGAACCGGGAGCATTAATAATTAATCGCAATGCTCTCTTATTGCCCTCATTTGGCTGAAATTGTTCCAATTCAACGCGTCTATGATGTCCTTGCCAATTCCCACTAAGCGTCCATGAATTGTGGTGCAACGCATCCCTCAAAACCTTGATGGGCTGTGACAACTTTAACAACAGCCATTCAGCGTGAGTGTAAGCTCATTTGCTATTCGCAATCATCTTTGCATTTCTGAAATGCATCCGTATTGCCGAGATGCCTTATGCTTCAGTCAACCGATACGACATTGTAGGCTTTACCCTGTAAATACATATATTGGCGTATATGGTCCGTGGTAGACTTGGTTCTTTTGCTAAGTAGCTTCTGCGTCAAGCGCTCAACAGCCTGTGCTCTCGGCGCTCTCTCAGCAGTGCAGAACCACCAGCTATTCCCCGTCCCTGTCGGATTTCCTTCCCAGTCAGTCCGTCTCGCGTCTGTCCCAGCCGTTCGGCCGGCCCACTCGAGAGCAGGGGCGCGGCTCTATCTGTCCGACCCAGCCGCAGCGGACGGTATCTCCGCGACGAGAGGTGCTCTGATTAGTGGGAGCGTGTGTACCGGCGTGTGCCGAGATAGAGCCACCGGAGAGGAGGCTGAATACTCGTCCCAGTCGGATCGGTCGCGCCGGATGCGACAATTGCGACGGGCCGGCCGCCGCCCCATTTGCCGCTTCCTTTTTATTCGGGCTGCTGCAGCGGGCGGCGGCGGGGACGGACTCTGTGCGAGGCCGGCCGGCCGTGGACAGAGCTGTGTTTACAGTGACATACCGCAGACCGTCTGTTCTGCTCGCTGATAAATATATTAGATACCCCTATCAGATTTATGCTGCGCTCTGCGATGTCGACACAGGTTTTGCGCTTTCTAGTCATCCAGCGGCGGAGCTGTGCGCACGATTTGGCTGCGCTGGAGGAAAAACCGAAACACGCCTGGTCGTTTTTACATTTACGCCGGCCGCTCTTGCATGACATACTGCGAATCCCCGGTTTGGCCATGACCGATGCTGGTTTTGCATTGCACAGTTAAGTTAGGTAAGAGTTAGTGGCTGAGCTGCACTGCGCGGTGGGCTGTGCATGGTGTATGTGACCCCTAATGAGGCCCAGAATGATTACCGACACACGGGCATACTGTCTAGTGTATGGTGATGAAAACATGTTTATGAAAAGTTACATCTTTCAAAGATATTGATAATAAATATCTACGAATGCATAAATGGATGTGTTTATTTCGCTCGTCATGTTATGCTGGCATGAAAAACGCTTCGTACTTCTCCGGTTTCGAATGGTAACGGTGTCAGGTCCATTCCACACGACACATCACTCCCCACGCACCCCCGTTCCTCGCCTGCACCCCCAGCTGCCCATCACCCGCTCAGCTGCCGTAGCTCACACGCCCCCTCTAAGCGCCGGCTGCGACCATCGCTGCACGGACCGTGACCTGACCTGAGCTGACCTCTCTGTTGCAGGTGTGCTGGTGGCGGCGGTGGCAGCCGACCGGCAGTGTGACCCTTCAGGTGAGTCCTGGGAGTGCCGACACCGGGAGAGGACATTCACACTGAGGGCTGGGGTGGGTGGGAGGGGCGGCTACACCGAAGGACGGGGTGGGTGAGGATGGCGGCGACCCGAGGGACGGGGTGGGTGGGAGAGTCGCCAGCGCCGGCCGAAGGCGGTGGGTGGGAGCGAGAAACCACCGATACTGGGCGACGACACTCAGGGCCGGGTGCAAATTATCAGCCTCAGCTGTGAGCAAAATTGAAAACTCTGCTTACGCTTTCATGGCAACCGAGCGCCACGCCTGGTAATGTCAAATAGCGGCGTGTCGTGAAGCGTGACCTTGGCTGCATTTTGTTGTCAGTGGGTGAATATTTAAGCAACTTCACATACTTATGAAGATCTCAATTTCTTGCATGAAAACCGATCTTTGTGTCCGTGTCGGGTTAGGCTCCGGTAATGGGGAGGAGCTCCCCTGCCGTTGTTAGCCCTCACCGAGACACTACACGTATCTGGGCGGCAGTGTGCACGTGCAAGGCCCCGTCATACCAATCCTCAGAGTACCGCTGTCGCTGACGGGAGTGGAGCCAATGAACTGAATTATTCACCAACGAATTATTCATGTCTCGAACAATATAGCACGAGCGTGTGGTTATGTCTGTGCGCATTGTGTTAACTGAGAGTCCTGGACACTAGGACATGCGATGGGGCGACGACCTTGTGAGTAATGAGAACCAAATACGTGCAACAGAGATATTGAACGGCCATGCTTAATTTGTTTGCGCCGCGCAAGATCGTTTTTCGTTGATCTCAAGAACCTTTAGGGAAGAGTTAATGTGTGCTGGCACACATTAGGGGTCTTCGATCGAATTCCAGAGAAAACCAGTGACGATTCTAGTTTCTCGTTCATAACAGTTGAGTGGCTTTGAGCGTTTGGAGATATTATCCTGTTACGTGATCGCTAAGCAAGATTCATTACATAATGCCTACTAAGTAGATCAATGACTCGTAAGATGATGTCATTGTAGCGAACCGTGCCAAGATGTGATCAATGTGATCAGCAGCCAGCAGGAGACTGTGATGTAGCCCGTCTCGGTGGATCGGGATCACGTGGTCCGGGTCGGGAGTTGACCTACCATAAAGTACACTGACACGTGCGGTGTGGCAATGGGCTGCACACCGTGCACAAGTGCACAGTGCTAGTGCACACTGCACACTGTTCCGTGATTACGTCGCCGCTATTATGCGATCTGCGAATGACGTGCCCTTCAGTTCTCTTTCTTCGTCACGTCTTTCAGCAAGACGTTTTCGGAGTGTGGGCAGAACGTTATAAAGTTCAGAAGCCGCATTTGCGACGGACCGTCGCTGATGGCAATTTAGCGGTTTTGTTTTAGGACTGAGGAGTAGTGCCATTGTATCAGCGGGTGCGCATATGCGCACTGTGCAGCTGAGGATCCGCCGGCACGTTCCGTCGGTACTGTTGCCTGTCGGTCCTGTCAGTGTTCGCTGGGCACACACGTTCTCAGTGCTGAAATGTCCCGCTATCCACTGCTGCTGGCGGCTGCGAACTGCCTCAGGGGGCCGCTGCCGGCCGGCCCGTCCGAAACTCTGGGGGTGGGGTATAGTGTGGCCCTTCGGGCTCTGCCGACCGTGTGTGTGTGGGTGTAGGTGCGCGGCCGCTCAGCGCCTCTGCCCGGCCGGTGCGCAGCATGGTCTCACGCGCGAAATGTGTGTGTATAGTGTGTGTGTGGCGGACGACCTTGGCGCCGAACACTGACCGATGTGTGCGCCCCGAGGCTGCCGCTGCGGTCCCGGTGGGTGCCCACGGCCCACGCGTGATTGATCTGTTGTTCTAGCTGTGTGATGATGCTTAAATTGGTCACTGATAGATTTTCCTGATGTAAGGTGATTTTCAGTTGCATTTCAGTTGCATTTACAGTTTGAATTCCAAAATTCAGGAAAGAGACGTGATGTTAAAAGCTATAATCATTTCGGGATAATTGACGACCAGGCATGCTTTACATAGAATTACTATTCTTCAGCCGGGCTGCCGGTACGGAGCCGGCCGGTTTCCTTGTTTCTCCCGCGGTGGTTTATTTTGGCGCCCGGCTAGCTGGGAAGCGACTCACCTTCCCACCCTGCCGGGACTAGCCCTACGAACCTTGTTTAAATAAAAAACACCATTCTAACGAAAAGTGCTTGTCTATTTCAAACAACCTGCCTGCGGTTATACTCGGTCCAAATGCCCCGTGATGAATCCTGGGTGAGTGCCATAAGATCGTCTGCGGAAGACTGGGAGGATTTGGATGTCCCGGACTATCACTGCTGGATTTGTGTTTTACGTAACATAAGAAAAAACACACGGGTCCATGCTGGTTGTAACCGGGATGTCTTTCAACTTACAACATTGATATCAAACCTTTTTGATCAGCCAGGATTCTTGTCAAAAAGTCAGATTAGGTATCTTTTCTGATGATAGCGTAATGAGGTGGTGGCTGGTGCTCCGTTCCTTCTTCTTTCTTCTAGTCATTTATTCTTGTTAGTGATGATTACGAGTAAACAAAGATAAGCTATGCTATCTATCTATGCTGCCCTTGTTTTCATTTTCGCTCCCACTGCTTTTCTCTCGCTTTTTGCTGCACTCTGAGACGCTCGCGCTGCGGCCCATCTGCCTATCGGTCGCCCTCTGTCGTCGGCCCGGCTGCTCTGTCTGAATCATCTCAGTGCGTCTCGCGAGCGAGACACGCACTGCGCACACCGCACTCTGCCTTTGTCGTATGCTCGGTGCCCTCGCCGTGTCACTGTGCTAACGCCGCCCGTCAGGGCCGCGGCGGCCGGCTGCCTCCTCAGCTGGCTTTGTCGGCGTTTTGCAGAGGATCCGCTCAGGACCCGGAGGGAGGGGGTAGAGCGGGGGGGGGGCTGTGAGAGGGTTGAGATGGAAGGAGGTGCGCGAGCCGTCACGTGCCGCCGTGTACGGCCCGCTGGGAAAATGAAGATCGTGAACTGACTGGGCTATGGTCTCTCAACATACCGTGGGCTATGGCCGCTGTTATTGCTGACTTGGCTGAGGGTTATGCCGTCGCCTTTCGCTCCTCGTCTGTCATCGTATGGAACGTCGTAACTCGACGGCAATCATCCCCGACGCCGTGTCATGAGCCGCAGACGCGAAGTTATTGAAACGGACATGACTCGGCCGCTTTTTCTGCGGTGGGCCACTCTCTACTTCATGTCTGAACTTTAATGTGATGTGACGTGGGGTGGGCATCTCGAGTCGGGGCACGGAGGAGTTGGTGCCAACAGAAACATAGTCACGTCTACAGGTAGCCTGGTCCTGTTGCCTTGACTGCTGCTGGTGTGTCTGTCGTTCTTAAACATCGCAACTCGGCCCACGTCATTTAGTTTGAAATATTTCTGGCCACTCCAACCCATCGCCTTGTTTCATGAAGTCTCACGCCTGCTGATCAGGTTGGAACGGATGCACTGTTGGGCTGATGCCGTCGACGTCGCTCGTTAATACCCTTATTATGTGTTTGATGTGGGTCGATAAGCCATCAGCAGCGGTCGACCCAGGCGGGGACGGGGACACTGCATGGTGAATCACAAACAAAGGGTGGACCGCGAATAATAAGCGGTCCCGTTCCCGCAGCTGTTTTGCGTGAAGTGCGTATGGGATGATTCGGGTGGACAGAAGTGAAAGCTGGGGAGGGATGGACTTCGACCCTGCTGAGGGGATGTTTGGGATTAACTAGTGTGATACTGTCGGCATGTTTTTCTGAACGAGGGCAACCGTACTTAAGAATTGAGACAAATGACCAATTATTGAGACGTTCGTGACTGAAGGGAGACTCGTATTTCGGTCTTGACCTAAGGATGAAAAAGTCACCGTAGAAAAACAGTTTATCTCGACTCTTGATAAAGGCAATCGCTGACGATTCGCCCAAGGCCTTTCGGAATGGAGGCTAGCCTCTTGCTCCTTTGATCGGAAGTTCAATACCGTGTACTTGAGCGTACAAATGCCAATATCGCCAATGCGCCGATGTCAACTGTCGCAGCGTCACTGACTCCCCTGTGTCTGTGTCGCACACCACTCGCCACCGTACATACACCGGCCCCGCCCCACCCTCCCCTGTCTGTGGCGTGTGACCGGGTCAAGGCTGCCGCCGAGGGGTGAGGTGTCACCTCACGGTCAACGGGGGTGGGGGCAGGGGGGGGGGCAACAGATCGCGAGCGCTGCAGCTGCCGAGTGGGGGACCTCGGGGTCCGATACCTTTTGGTTCTAATGAATTATAAAATTGACTGAACCAAGAGTGGACTTGTTCAGTATTTAGTCACACCATCACTGTCTCCCGTTGCGTCTGCTGACCCGCGGCCTGCTCCGTCCCACAGACGAGTTTCTGTCGTCGGACCGGCAGTATGACTTCCTGTACACGGGCTCGGTGGAGCTGCGGCACACGGCCGGCGCAGAGATGGCCGCCAGCGCCTTCAGCTTCAACTGCGCCGTCATCGTCAACGGCGAGCAGCCCTGCTACCACTCGCTGAAGGTGAGGAACATACTGTATCTCAGACTACAGACTGCAGACTACACACACTGACCGCAGACCTGTCACCCACCAACTGCGCCGTCATCAACGGCGAGCAGCCCTGCTACCACTCGTTAAAGGTGAGGAACAGACTGTAGAGTACAAACTACAGACCTGTCACCGGCTGCGCCGTCATCAACGGCGAGCAGCCCTGCTATCACTCGCTGAAGGTGAGAGACAGACTAACAGACTGCAGCCGTCCCACCTCTCACTCAATGTGAGAGACAGATACGCGATTATTTTCTCCCATGTTTCTTGTTCTTGGTTACCAAAATATACTAAATTCAACTGAACTGAACAGATTACTGCATACAAATTAAACATGTTGCTGCAGCAGGCGCGCATGCTTTATCGTCTCCAGCAGCGCCTTGATTAGTGTGTAGCAGAGTCAGAACCTTGGCGACATGTGGCCACCACCATGTTCCACGCACCAATATGGCGTCTCTATGGACGTCAGCCTACTGCGCGCCTCACGACCAGTTGCGTGCGGTGTGTCCATCGCTCGTCGTGTGACGACACGGACCGCGGAACGGGCCGGCTGGCCGACCTGTCCAAAAATCGCCAACCAGCCGGCGCAGGCTGCTGCCCACGCCATGTGACCTTGGCTTTAGCGAGGCGGGGCGGGCTAGAGTCATGCTCGATTCTTCCATACCCGCCCCCGTCTGACCTGACCTGATCGTGTTGGTCTGACCTGACCCTGCTGGTCTGACCTGACCTGACATTATTGGTTCCAGCTGACGATGTGCACGCTGGGTGACGGTGCCACCCACCCGTCTGTCCTGACCTGACCTGACCTGACCTGACCCTGTTGGTTTCAGCTGATGACGGTCACCAACCCGCCTAACCTTACCTAACCTGACCTGGCTTGACGTGACTTGACCCGGTCTGTTTCAGCTGACGATGTGCACGCTGGATGACGGTGTCACCCATCCGGACCAAGCGTCCCGGGAGCACAGCTTCAACCGACTGCTGAAAAGGTGAGTACAAACTATTCGGAGTCCAGAACGAATTCTGAAAAACGCCTTTGTGGAAGACATGTTCCCTTACCGCAATTGCCTCGTTCCAGATAACTAAATTACACCTCGAACATTTGATTACGTGCTCAATTTTCATTCATTGCTTCGTTAAAACCGTGAAGCAACATCAGTCACCCACCGTCCCACCATATGCTATGCGAGCATGATAGCGGCATCCAGGACCACAGTCCCGTCGTCTCCTGTCTCTGACTCGATCCGCCCCCGCGCCACGCTATGCTGCGTAATTCTTCCTTCCTTACCTCCTGTCCGCCCTGTGCCGGACCTGCCGTCATACCAGCGACACGCCTCTAATGACGTCCCACGAACCGTGACGTCACCGTGTGGCGTCACTGTGCGGTCGGTGATGCGCCCGCCACCGGTCTCAGGTGTGTCACCGGACCGGTCCTGGACGTCACCGCGGTACCGTCCACGGTCAGCCGCGTCACCGCTGCCGCCGCCGGCCGTCGGTGTCATGTTCGGCCGCCGTCGGTCGGGGGTTCAATCCCCCGTGCGGCGGCGCCGGTGTGATCCGAGTCTCTGCGTCTGTGACTCCGCTGATCAGCTGCTCGTCCCCTCCGCTGCTTCTCCTGCCCCGCCCCCCTCCGTCTGCCGCGCCGCCGAGCACGTGTTGGCGCGCTGCCAGCTCTGACGTCACCGTCTGGCGTGATGTTCGCGCCACATTCACCCGGCGGCAGTGCACAGTGGACAGCTGGCTGCCGTTCGTGGTCTAATAGTCGCCGCACTGTGGACCAGCTAGTGGTGTTTGGGGTAGCCATGGAAAACTTCATGTTGCATTTGGTCAGGGGCATGTTATAAATGTGAAGCTTCTGTCGTATGATCCATTACCGACTGATTCTAACACGTGAGCAAGACCACTTTCCGTAGGTCCTAATCCACCCGTTCAGTTCACAAAATTTGGAGGTAGTAATCCTACCGCCATCACTCGGCCAGTGCTTCTCCTGCCTGTGCTCCTCAGCCGAGTTCACACTGACTTCTCTCGACCTCCTCAACCTGCGCCATCAGTGCTGTCTCTTCTATCCACTGTCTTCTATTCGACTGCTATCCGACGCCGCTGCCGCCGGCCCATTGTTGCCAGTCTATGTCGTAAGCGAGCGCCTTGACCCGATTTGCGGGGCTGATGGCCACTTAGCCCCTGTGTAGCGCTGTCTTACGGCAATCCGTCTGAAGACCTGTGGCGAAACGTCCCAACTCCCTGCGGTGGTCATCATATGTCGCATGAACTGGGAGGAGGACAGCTGGCTTTGTTGCAATACTCTAAGTCATATTATCTTCTGTCATGAGTGAAACCAGTTTCGTTTTTTAGCAAGTAAACTGGTTAGATGAAGTCTGGTCAAATCAAAATTAAGCGCATCCTCATCATCATCGGGGCTAAGCAATTATACAACTTAGCTAGTCGATGCATTTTGTGGTTTCCTCTCAGCGGGTAGCGGATAAGCTGTTTTAGTTGAAACTGCAGTCGCCTCCGTGGGCGGTGTCGTGGGTGATGTAAACCCCGCCCCTATCTCCCACCGCGGGGAGGGGATGTTGTGGGCGGTATGAGCCCGCTCCATTCGTGTGGTGTGCTGCTGTCCAGACTGACCACAAGGCCCCCACGGCCGGTCACTGACTTCTGACCACCCGTTCACACTGGGCTGTACCGGGTCTGGTTCATACGGCGTCGTATGTCCGAGCTGCACCGGGTATCTACCGGTGTGTCTGTCGCCGAGCTGCAGTACGGCTGCCCCGTTACCACTGGCCGCGCGGCACCGGTCAGCGCTCTCTTCCAACTCTGTACGGGGCATTGTCGTTTCCTCTTCTATATACATTCTTGACACGGGTGCTACACGGAATTACCGTATAGGTAACCCGTTCACCGCCACGACCAATGACACGGTGGCTGGCGCACTTCGGACACCGTTTGCTCCTTGTTCGACTGGCAAAAGTTCATCCCAGATTATCAAGTCCTCTATCCTCACAGAGGAGCACATTCGGATCAATCGTTAACACGAACATCTGATGTTGCTCTAACATGCTATTTTTGAAAGAACAATAACTTTATTGTTATTTGCAATTTGTGTACTAAGTATATCAAATGGCCTCATTGCAATTTGATCAGTTTTATGCTGATGCTCATACCGCCCCAATGAAACAAATTAAGTGCTTCGTTAATACGTTGTTCCGAGTGCCCGCTACATCTGTACGGGTGGCCTTGTTCAGTTTTTGTTCGTGCTGGCTGCTTTTCACGGCCACCGGCCGGTTATTCGGGCCTGGATCGTGGTCCATATCTGAGCGCCGATCGCGGGCGGCGCACGGTCCGGTCCGGTCCGGTCCGGTCCGGTCCGGTCCGGTCCGGTCCGCGGACCGTCACACGGCGGGCCAGGAAGTGAGTCGGACCCGGCGCGTCACCCCGTGCACGCATGGCGGGGTCGGTGGCATGTCAGGATCACCTGGTCGGCAGAGGAAGAGGAAGAACAAGTTTTGGAGAACCGTGAGAGACAGAGGGAAGGGTAGCTGGAGATGGGGTGGCTTGAAATCGAGAACAGGAAGAGAGAAATGGGCTCTGAGAGCTGTTGCTGGTGTGTCGATGGTAAATACGAACGATCGTGCTGGCATGATAGACTACATACCTATTGGAGTGTGGGGAGACTTTTTATGACTTTCATCCTCTTGTTTATGGTTATATGGTGCCAATGGTATTGACTTTCGATTCCTCTGTAAGGTGTCTTTGTTTGATGTTTGGTCCAGATGATTTGTGGCTGTAGCCCAGTCATAAGATAAGCCGCCTTTGCATATTCTCGTCTACTGACTGTCGCAGTGTCTGTCGCACGTCATTGATTTTAGGGGGCTTTGAACCATCTGGCATTGTCATGCACCTATGCATTGCGTGATTGAAGTTGTCTGGGTATCTGAATGCAATATGACTTTTACGGCAGAAGCATTATCCGAAATGTCTGCGATTGTAACAATTCTCATTGAAACGTTTTTCAGAAGGTTGACGTGTTGCGACATATTTCCCCGAGAACGCTTGAATGCTCTATGTTTTTTCTCAGTGTATTGAGCCAACCGGTCGGACTTCACCGTTGACCAATAATGCCCAAATTGCCAGGGTCTAGGATATTATGCATTTGTGTTCTTTAAAGGTAGTGTGCCACCTTTGAAAGATTTCCCATTTTATTTTTCCTAGGACAAGAAGCTTCTGTTTTTACCTAATATCGCAAAAAAAATCAAAACTGGGCCTGGAATAGTGCCTTTTTCGCCTAAAAGTTTTTCGGTTTTTAGATATGTATAACAACTGTAGTGGGCTCACCTGCAAACAGGCGTCGGGCAACAATCGCGAATGCGGCGCACTTGTGACAATAAGCAAAGGTCATTATAGTGTTACGACCATACGACGTACGGGAATGAGTTATCAGCTGTCTAATCGTAGACAACACAATGTCGAGCCTTAAACTGTAAGCCCGTATTGGTATTGTTTCTTTTATTTGGCTGTCGAACATTATTTATGGTTTGAAATATGATTTTATGTAAAATAATTGATATGAAAAAGCCGTCTTATAAGTTATGACCCCATTTCACCACACGCAAGTGGCAGAAATGACAATGATCAGCTGACGCATTTTTCTTGGCCGAAGTCAGAGCGCGCGGCCCGACGCACCACGCGTATTTGGAAATTCCGACCTCGACGAGCATCAGAAGCCACCTAACAGGCGTGTTCGAAATCGCAGGAGATGATGATGAACGGGTTTATCGAAACTTGATTGGATGAGCATATCGGTAATAGCGATTTCAGTGTGTGCATTTATTGTTCATAGTGGTGTGAAATGTGGTTGGGGTACGACCGACAACCCGTCGGGGCGAATTTCGCACTGGGGTACTCAAAATTTGAAGAATTTAAGACGTTTCCATGAGTTTTGAAGGTATGGATAAGTTCTAAAAATCCGGTTCTCCTTATCTGGGCCATTAACTCCATACGGTCCAAGAAAGCTGGCACACTACCTTTAAGCTCCATTCAAGCTCTCAATATTTATTAATCGGAACATTCTAAACAGGTGGTCTCGACCTTGGTAACAGGTGTGTTGTTCTGTGATGACCTTGGGAACAAAAACTGACCTTTAACGGGGTGGCGTTAGCGGTGGCGGCAAGAACAGCCGTGTTACCTTACGGTGGCTGTAAAAACACCTGGAACAACGCACGTGGGAAATGACACCAGCAAAACAAAGGGTGATGAATGTGCTACCCGGACACTTCAGTTCGTAGTAGAATCCGAGCTGCCTTGTTATCAACTAACAGTTGACATCTTCAATGACCGCTGCTGCAGGCGCCACCTTTTTCTACGACCCGGTGATTTTTTTGTGATCGCTGATCATCCACCTAGGCCTTGACCTCTATGATAACTCGGCAATCCACTATCAGCTGCGGTGATCCCATTGCTGGGTGCGGTCTTCTGTCGTAGCACTTATGCAATACGGGATGCAACCTTCAGATGATGGGCCGATAAGCGGCACTCGCGGGGGCCTGGCCCACCGGCTGCGTGTGCAGGGGGTGGAGCAGTGACCGGCGGGAGGAGGGCACCTGCTGATGACAGCACGCTACAGCGCAGATGCACGGCTATCTGCCCAGCGGCCTCCCTCTCCCTGGAACGAGTGCGAAACCTGTTGTTATGTAAAATGAAAAAATTGCAACTACGTAGGTGGAAAAGTAATGATATGCTGCTGCGTAGGTCTTGAAATGCACAAAGCCGCTTCTGATTGTAATGTTTCTTGATGCGAGCATTGGATCAGGGATATTGTAATGTCTTATTTGTGTTGTGCATTAAAGAATACAAATTATAAAAGCGGTTTTTGAGCTATTCTACCACGTCCTTTGTATTGCTGCTAACGCCCGCAATTGTTCTCGATTATGTTCGTGAATCACCATTTTGTCTGTTTATGCATCGGGGCCCTTTTTTTTATTTTAAATAT